GGGTTCGGGATTTAGGGTTGGGAATAGTTAGTTGCGGTCTAGCGCATCAAAGTCAGATTGGAGGTATGAGCTTTAGGGCCAGGGTTCAGCATCTTGTTTATCAAGTCGCACAGATCATGGTTGCGATGGCAATCGTACCACTGAGAGAAGTCAGACATTGCAAGAACGAGTCGAACAAACAACATCCGACTGCTCGACAAGCTATGAGTAAGCTTACAGTTCATGGCCCCAACCCTACAGCCTAAACCCCAAATCCTAAACCCACAGAATCCTACAGTGTCCTACAGACCAAACCCTAAACCTGAAGACCTAAACCCAAAGCCCCACACCCGACACCCCTAAACCCGAAGCCCTGTGGCACTCCACCTCCAGAGGCTTCTTAGGATCTGCTTCTTCTCGCAGGGCATCACACGGAGTCAGGAAGTCAGGGCGTCCACCTTGGCGCAACCCAGCGGGTCCATATAATACAGGGGCATTAATAATTAGATTACGGTTTTGGGGGTGTAATATACCATGCTTTTAGAACGGAGCCCCACAAAAATTTGTGTTGGTAATTATTTTGGTCCCCATAGTAGACTGCCATGATCGCATTAAGTCCCACCAGACCATCCCTGCTATGGTCTGAGGACCTCATACCATCATAGCAGCATAGATGGACCCTCTTGGCAACAAATGCAGCACTGGGCTTTCTACGTGCAGTGCACCAGGGCTTAGCTTGAAGGTTTAGTGCTGAGGACCGAGGGGTCTGTCGTTTAGGGTTAAACGGCTTAGGGCTTAGGGGTTTAGGGTTTAGCTCCAGTTTAGGCTCAGGGTTTCGGATTTTGGGACTTAGAGTTTGGGTCCAGTTTGGGCTTGAGGTTTAGGGTTCCAGTTTAGGGTTCAGGAGTTGGAGCTTATGGAGGAAGATGAGGACAAAGAAGGACTGTGCCGCTGTTGATCAGGGTGATGGAGACTGTGGCGATTTTGATGGGCTGAATTATTACCAAAGGTTTTGTTTCGTTTTAACGCCTTTTCCTGCGTTAAAGAGAATCCGGGGCACCTTTTTTAGATGAGACGACGCCTGCTACTCAGAATCATCCAAGTAGATCTCGATCACCCCGCTTGCCAAGGGTTTAGGGTTTAGCGTGCGCAATTCCCGAGGGCTTCATATTATGAGTTTTAGGGTTAGGGTTTGGGGTTCCATATTATGATTGTATTCGAACAGTATGATTGTATTCGAACAGTATTAGCCCCCAACCCTATAGAAATTGATAAGGCCACGATATTAGCAAAAGGAGGTTCGGGAGCACAGGATTACTATAAGAAGGGGTATTATAATGGAGGGGGCCCTTAATAATTAGAATAAGGTTCCTTTAAGAGCCCCTTTAAAAGGGGTACTATAAAAGGGTACTATAGGGGTTTAATGTAGGCTAGGGATCGCACGTTCCGGAGCTTCAGCGTCTGCATCTTGCATCACGGCAGGGCCCCCGCCTGCGAGATTGAAGGTTCAGGCTTTGAAGCTTTAGGTTTGGTTTAAGGTTTAGGGTTTAGGGTTTAGGGCTGGGGTTTGGGGATTGGGGTTGAGGAATGATGGTCTTAGGGTACGGAGCGAAGGCTGTTGGGTTGCAGTCGATATTCCAGGGAGTTGGACCTTCAGACTATACTATACAGCTCGGCCCAGGCCACACGAAGGGCCAGCGCACTCGGAAAGATACAAGCGCGATCCCCTTCACAAACAACAGCTATATTCTTAAGCTAATCATCACAAAGATGGGGTTTTGTGAATTCAGGTAGAGTCGATGCTTTCATTCATTACGACGAATCCTCAGTTCTTGATTCTCAAACACTGCCATGTCTAGAAATGCTGAGGACGTAGAGTCGAAACCCAATATTGAACTCTTGTGAATTGATTGTGAATTAAGTTGCCACAAAGAGGAAACCCTGTCAAAACGAGCTCTAGGTCCGTACTACGGTAGCTTAAGTTAAGTTTCGTAGCAAGAACCCAGTATACAAAAGATGGGCCTAAACCCCAAGCCCTAAGCCTTAAACCCGAAAGCCCTAAACTCCAAACCCTAAACCCTAAACTACTAAAACTCTAAACCCTAGACCCTAAACTCCACACACCCGAAAGCTCAGAGGCCCCAGAGGCCCCAAGCCCTGAACCCTATAAATCTCAAACCCGATGCGCTAAACCCTGGTAAAGCCTCGTTTTAGAGTTTAGGGTTTTGGGCCTAAACCCTGAAAGCCTGGCTTTAGGGCTTAGGGCCCCGTAAACCCCAGCACATACCTAGTTTGAAAGGGTACCTGGGTGGTCCTAGCAGTCAGTTGGCAACGACCTCAGAGAGCGTGCTGGCGTTTACGCGAAGAATTCGCTTGGTGAGACGCAGAGATTGAACATTGCAAAACGAGTTTGAACTGTGATTCTGACGTCGATCGTCGGCAAGAATGGCTTTTGAAGCTTCTCGCCTGCAGAACAAAGATGCAGGGCATCAACGGATGCCAGTCAAGCTCCATTAACTTTCAGAGGCCGTCAGCTCGCATGTGCATCTCCACATGTTGATATGAAATCACATGCAAGGTCAGGATGCCTCTGTCCTAGCTTTTGCTAAAAATATGTTACCTCAGCCTCAAAGGCTGTATGGCGATTGTAGAAACTGATGAATGATGCATGTTGCAGCTTATTCACAGCTTCCTCATGCTCCCGCTTATGCTGCCAATCTTCCAACTCCTGTCGGAACTTTGCAGCCTCACGGGCTGCAATCTGAATCGGCAACTCTGTCTTCGCGGATTGCCATTCCTTCACAGGCTTCTGCGCCTGCACCACATCCAACTCCTGCGGGAGCTTCTGGTCGCTTCTTTCGCTCGCAGCCTCGCGGGCCGTCAGCAGGTGAGATGCATGCTCCATGAGAGCGCCTAGCAGCTCCTTCTCGGAAGCGCGAGATGCGTTCACATGGATCTGCCTTCCATGGAGCTCTGCCTTGACCTTTTCCAGCTCAGCGTGGGCTTGCTCCAGCTCTGAGCCTTGTGCTTGGAATTCGCACTTCATCTCCTGCACCTGGTCGGCTAGCCTCATTCTGTCTGCAAGGAGAGCTTCCAAGAGGGCCGCCTCTGTCTGCCGGGCATTCCGCTGATCTTGGCTGCTCAGCTGAGTTCTCCTTCTCTGCTCTTTCAGGTGTGCTCGCAACTCCTGTGAGATCATCTGTTCATGGTTTAGCAAATTCCGCATCTCTTCCAGAGCCGACTGCAGCTGGAACACTTGCTCTTTCAGCATGTTCTCTGTGCTCGACGGTCGGTCCGACGTGCACACCCTAGCGTCGCACAGCGCGCTTGAAGGAGCAGCTACGTGCTTCCAAACCGAGGCCATCGCAGTGAACCCCGGAAAGCAGAAATTATGCCGTTTTGAACCTGTGCCGGAAGTCGAACACCGACTTGCCAGCTTGAGCCCCAGCATCAAGCGTATCGCCCCACAGGGCTCTGCAGCTCAAATCGCGGTTGGGGGGAAGCGAGCCTAGCACCAAGCCCATAAGCGCCAACCGCACCAAGACCTAAGAAGACCCTGAGATTCAACTTTCGACGGGCCTAAGACGGACTCATTCGACTCTAGGTTCTCTGATTGCGGTTTAGGCTTTAGGGGTTTAGGCCTTAGGGGTTTAGGGTTTAGGGGTTTAGGGTTTAGGGTTTTTGGAGTTTAGGGTTTAGGGATTTTGAAGTTTAGGGTTTATAGGGTCTAGGTAGGGCTTCGCCTGACAATGATGGGTCAGTGATATGTGGGGGGTTCAGTGTTTAAGGTTTAATTAGGTCTGAAGGTCTGGGGTCTGGACCGAACAGCCGGTCGGAGCGGTAGCCCTAAATAACCCCAAACCCAAAACCCTAAACCCGTAAACTCCCAAACCTGAAACCCTAAACCCTAAAGCCTGAAACCGTCAACCCTAACCCCTGAAACCCTAACCCTCCCCTACTGCGGTTCTTGGCTTTCTGGGTCCCACCTCGCAGCCAGAATTCTGCTCCAGCGCAAAAGTGCCAACCTCAAAACTTAGGGCATGGCTTTTTCGGGTTATAGCATTATAGGGCCAGATATTATTCCAGGGTTTATAGTATTGTGGAGCTTATAGCACTATAACATCTATAAGGCTTGTAGTGTTTGGGGGTGGTGTGTTCATCATCATGGGTTCAAGGCTCCAGGGCTTGCAGCAGCATCGTCATAATCACAATGACCACCACCATCACCAGCACCATCGCCACCGTCGTACTCATCATCATCATCATCATCACCACAATCACATCACCATCACAAACCCCATCACCAGCACCAGCACCAGCACCAGCACCAGCGGCATCGGCAGCGGCAGCGGCAGCGGCAGCGGCAGCGGCTGC